CTGAATTTTGCTCTTTTCATTTTCTGTAAATAAAACACCAAATGCATGCTTCTGCCCAGGATCGAACTGGGGACCTTGCGCGCGTAATGCGCATGTGATGACCGCTACACTACAGAAACAAGCGCATGTTCGGAACTCTTTGTAAACTTCCCCAGTTTCGAACGTTCGAAATTGACTTGAAATTGGTTCATTTGATCATCTCGCAGCAGCCAATTTTGATTTTTCCGTTGAAGCAATAGAACGACCACTGACGTGCGATGACAGAAACGATATTCAGTTAGTTGCCGTCGGATATACTTTCTGGTTTAAATGAAACATTTTTCTCCATTATATAAGAGAGTAAAATGACCTAATGTACAGTAGGCACAAGGGTTGTCAGCTGTCAGGATGGCCGAGCGGTCTAAGGCGCCAGACTCAAGTTTCAAAACTTGCTCCGCTAATGCGCAGCCAAAGGGCGTTCTGGTCCACTAATGTGGGCGTGGGTTCGAATCCCACTCCTGACAGAGAATTTTAAAATTATTTCATGAGGCCGTTCAATATATTGGTGCAATCCTTAATCCCGAGGATGACTACAAACCAGTCTAAACGTTGATTTAAAAACAAAATGTTGTTCGTTTTCCATCAAACCACTGTTTCCGCCCAGGATCTAACTGGGGACCTTGCGCGTGTGGAGCGCACGTGATGACCACTACACTACAGAAACTTGGCTGATGAAGTACGACTTCATTGCTTTGCTAAAGTTAATTTTGTTATTTTCATTTAATGGAAATAAAAACCAAATGCATGCTTCTGCTCAGGATCGAACTGGGACTTTGCACGTAAAGCGCATGTGATGACCGCCACAATACGGAAACAAGCGCATGTTCGGAACCCTATGGAAACTTCCTCAGTTTCAAACGTTCAAAATTGACTGAAAATTCGTGTATTTGATCCTCCCCCAGCCGCCAATTTTGATTCTTCTGTTGAAGCAATAGAAGGACCACTGACGTGCGATGAGAGAAACGATGTTCAGTTAGTTGCAGTCGGATATATTTTCGGGTTTAAATGAAATATTTTTAATATATAAGAAAGTAAAATGTAATCCAGGGAGACTTTCGTTTCCCTATACGTTTCTTTTTAAGTGGGGCATGTTTATCAATCACAGACATAAACAAATTCAACCATTCAGTCCACATATCAATAGGGTCGTTATGCAGACAAACCTGCTCCCAATTTAGATTATTTAAATCATTCAAATATGCATGTTCATTGAAGTTTCTGAAATTTCTCTTTTCAACAAAAGTATTTACCGGTGCCTTATGATATGTACATTTCCGAATAAGGTATACCAGAGAATGATCACTTATAGCAAGAGAAAGAACACCGGAAGCTTTTACTTTATCAAGATTATTGGTAATACATAGATCGATTAATGTTTGTGAGGTATTAGTTATTCTTGTAGGTTCAGAAATTGTCTGTGAAAGATTGTAAATATCAAATATATTCAAAAGCTCAGACGTGTTGGAATTTGGTGTGTTTGACAATAGGTTGCAATTCAAATCTCCAAGTAAATACAGTTCGGATTTCTCAGCATCTATCTTATCGATAATTTCCTCGAATAAAGTAAATAATTGTTGGGACGAGCTTGGAGGTCTATACCAAGTACCCACCAAAAACGGCTTTGAACGAGGATTAGAAATTTCGATTATTAGGATTTCAAGATCATTACATGCCAGATTTTCACGAATTCGAAAGTTTAGATTACTTCGTATATACATACAAACACCACCACCATTTCTACCATTAACCTTACGGTCTAGCCTAACAACATCATAGCCTTGAAAGATGGATTTCACTGTTTCCGATGGACGAATCTAACTTAGTTTCATTTATAGATAATATATCGATTTTACTATTGTCCATAAAGATTGTTAAATCATCAATGTGAGCTAACAAACTATTTATGTTTAGACAAGCAATTGCAAGACCATGGCTGAATAATCTAGTATATGGGGCTTCGGTATTAGAAATACGAGATGCGGATAAAGAATTAACTGACTCTCTTACGGCAATTTCCTAACAGGAATTAATGTACTTAGAAATGTTCTTTGCTACAATAGAAGTTCCATTACGATTAAGGTGCAATCCCCTTGTGTTTAGACAAGACAAATTAACCGATTTATGATCAATAAATGCCTATTGATTTTTAGAGCATATTGCTTTAATAAGGTTGTTAGCTTCTGTTGCTTTTGCCGATAGTTCAGATTTATCTGATCGTGGTAATATACTAGAGATCACAATGCTGGTTGCTGGGGAATCTTCTTCGATTTGGGTTGCGAGATTTGCAATCCCTTCAGCCACTCTCTTAGCAGATAGGTGTTTTAAATCGTTAGTTCCTACGTGTAGAATGACTTCATTCGGCTCCTTACGAAGGATGGGCTTCAAATAGTCTGCCATGTCTGTTATATTTGCCCCAGAAAAGCTCTTGACAACAACATGGTTGTCAGTGTTAGAAAGACGCCAGCCTTGCAGGTTCTGGACAATTGAATCTTCTGCAACAACAGTGACATTTTTCACACAAGAATTTGCATGTTTGTTATGCGTTTCTGGCACAGTATGCAAGTTATTGGTGCCACTGGTATTTGATGGAATTTGTTGAACAACAGAGTCTGTTATTGAATTGACATTTGATGGAATTTGTTGCATGACTGGTTCTGTCATTGTATTGTCATTTGATGGTATTTGTTGCATGACTGGTTCTGCTGTGGAATTATTGTTTGCTGGAATTTGTTGTAAGACGTCCGATCTACTTGTGGAATTTGCATTTTCGGACAAATTCTTATCAAGGTTTATACCTTTTCTCTTGCTTTTCGACTTATATTTGCGCTTCAAACTTTGTGACTCCGGGATTTTATTACTTGACAGAAAAGAATCTGGGTTTTTATCAACTACCCGAATCGACTCTTCGACATCATTCATACTTAAATTATGAGATAAATCATGTTGATTAAATACGTTAGTGTCATCAGACTTCAACTGCTCCGCTGCCGTTACCGTTGAGTCAACATGACTTTTGTCTGCGCATTGAATAAGTTTAATAGCTGTAATCAAACTACATTTCTCGTTTTCAATGTCCTTAATACGCGTGTTAGGACCGATACAACAAGCAACGACTTATTGAGTCTCCCAGATAGCACATCGTTATCTTTCTTAAGTTTAGTATTCTCTTCAAGCAATGCATTGACCAATCGCTCCTCCCCCAGCCGCCAATTTGGATTCTGCTGTTGAAGCAATAGAAGGACCACTGACGTGCGATGAGAGAAACGATGTTCAGTTAGTTGCAGTCGGATATATTTTCGGGTTTAAATGAAACATTTTTCTCCATTATATAAGAAAGTAAAATGACATAATGTGCAGTAGGCACAAGAGTTGTCAGCTGTCAGGATCGCCGAGCGGTCTAAGGCGCCAGACTCAAGTTGTAAAACTTGCTCCGCTAATGCGCAGTCAAAGGGCGTTCTGGTCCACTAATGTTAGCGTGCGTTCGAATCCCACAGCTGAAGATAATTTTAAAATTATTTCGTGAGGCCGTTGAATATATTGGTGCAATTCTTAATCCCGAGGATGACTACAAACCAGTCTAAACGTTGATTTAAAAACAAAATGTTGTTCGTTTCCCATTAAACTATTGTTTCCGCCCAGGATCGAACTGGGGACCTTGCGCGTGTTAGGCGCACGTGATGACCGCTACACTACGGAAACCTGCATGCTGATAAATGTTCGCCAATGGCCAATTCATTACCAGATGGGAAAGTTTTACCTAGGAGAAAACTTCTCAATGTATCATGAAAAATCGCTGTGTCGATCTAGTTAATTTTTAAATAATTAAATGCTAATCAGCTAAAAAATTTCTTCATGGTGTCAGTTTGAAGCAGCACATTGAAAGTGAATCTCGAGTTTTCCCCTTCACTCAATCTTGAGATCAATCGCGGGAAACAGCTTGCATATTTATTGCTTCGTTAAATATTGGGCGGTAGGTCAGATCTCGACAGCCCTTCAATGCATTAATCAGTGTTTACCTTGAAACAGTTTTTAGCGAAGATTAAGCTAGAACAGGTAATAAATAACGCGCAAGGTGTTCTCTCTTCGTTGGCTAAAACGGTAGAAATGGAAGCAATAGAAGGAAAAGTTGATTCTGCAACCCGTATCGCGCGTTACAAATTAACTGTCTTTAAAGGTTGGTTTACCTTTTCACAATCGGTCATGTACGCAAGTTAAAATTTGATAATAAACAGCCTGACTTCGCAACACATTTACTATGTTTCCGCCCAGGCTTGAACTGGGGTCCTTGCGCGTGTGAAGCGCACGTGATGACCACTATTCTTCAGAAATTGGCTGGCGAAGCACGAGTTCAGTTTTTGCTCTTTTCATTTTCTGTAAATAAAACATCAAATGCATGGTTCTGCCCAGGATCGAACTGGGGAACTTGCGCGCGTAAAGCGCATGTGATGACCGCTACAATACAGAAACAAGCGCATGTTCGAAACCCTTTGCATACTTGCCCATTTTCAAACGTTCAAAATTGAATGAAAATTCGTTCATTTGATCCTCCAGCAGCAGCCAATTTTAATTCTTCTGTTGAAGCAATAGAAGGAGCACTGACGTGCGATGAGAGAAACGATGTTCAGTTAGTTGCAGTCGGATATAATTTCGGGTTTAAATGAAACATTTTTTCTCCATTATATAAGAAACTAAAATGACCTAATGTACAGTACGCACAAGAGTTGTCAGCTGTCAAGATGGCCGAGCGGTCTAAGGCGCCAGACTCAAGTTTCAAAACTTGCTCCGCTATTGTGCAGCCAAAGGGCGTTCTGGTCCTCTAATTTGGGCGTGGGTTCGAATCCCACTCCTGACAGATAATTTTAAAATTATTTCGTGAGGCCGTTGAATATATTGGTGCAATTCTTAATCCCGAGGATGACTACAAACCAGTCTAAACGTGATTTAAAAACAAAATGTTGTTCGGTTTCCATCAATGGATCGAACTGGGTACCTTGCGCGTGTGAAGTACACTTGATGACCACTACACTACAGAAACTTGGCTGTTGAAGCACGAGTTCAGTGCGTTGCTGAATTTTGCTCTTTTCGTTTTATGGAAATAAAAACCAAATGCATGCTTCTGCCCAGGATCGAACTGGGGACCTTGCGCGCGTAAGGCGCATGTGATGACCTCTACAATACGGAAACAAGCGCATGTTCGGAACCCTATGCAAACTTCCCCACTTTCAAACGTTCAAAATTGACTGAAAATTCGTTCATTTGATGCTCCCGCAGCAGCCAATTTTGATTGTTCTGTTGAAGCAATAGAAGGAGCACTGACGTGCGATGAGAGAAACGATGTTCAGTTAGTTGCAGTCGGATATATTTTCTGGTTTAAATGAAACATTTTTTCTCGATTATATAAGAAAGTAAAATGACCTAATGTACAGTAGGCACAAGGGTTGTCAGCTGTCAGGATGGCCGAGCGGTCTAAGGCGCCAGACTCAAGTTTCAAAACTTGCTCCGCTAATGCGCAGCCAAAGGGCGTCCTGGTCCACTAATGTTGGTGTGGGTTCGAATCCCATTCCTGACACTTTGTGCAATTCTTAATCCCGAGGATGACTACAAACCAGTCGAAACGTTGATTTAAAAACAAAATGTTGTTGGTTTTCCATCAAACTATTGTTTCCGCCCAGGATCGAACAGGGGACCTTGCATGTGTTAGGCGCACGTGATGACCGCTACACTACGGAAACCTGCATGCCGATAAATGTTCGCCAATGGCCAATTCATTACCAGATGAGAAAGTTTTACCTAGGAGAAAACTTCTCGATGTATCATGAAAAATCGCCGTGTCGATCTAGTTAATTTTTAAATAATTAAGAGGGCCTCTCAGTAAAATCCACTCACTTGTTTGGGGAAGGGAAAATTGATTTAGCTCATATTTTGCATATTAACTAGACTTTGGTCAATATTAATCGAGCTTCTTTCAGAACGTTTCAACTTTCTGTTTGATAGGAGTTATAGCCATGTTGAAATTTGACCTTGCGAGAATATTTTCAGAGCGGAAATGAAGGGGAATTTTACAAGAATTCATCTGATTTTTTAAAACGTTGTGATGCGTTTTTCCCCTCCAGTTACTGTTCACATGCAAGTTAACACTAATACTCTCATTTACATGGAGATTGAACAACTATATTTACTTAATACGATTTTTTTATAATTTTACGAAACTATGTTTTCAGGATGGCGACGAAAGGCTGAAAATTGCTCATATTTTACTTAAAATAGCTCAAAAGTGGCACCTATCTGAAGTTCAAAAGGCATGCAATTTGAAAGTATACCTACTAAAGTTAAGTAATCAGGAATAAAACTCGTCTGCAAGCAATTTGCTGAAAAGTTATAAATCTCCAAATTGGGTCTATTTTTAGCTGTTTGTTTACATTGGCGTGTTCGCTGATCAGCAACACTAGGAATAATTAAAATGTTAAATAAGCTGGTTTCTTATCCAGGTTCAAATTTACACATAAAAACATTAAAAATACAACCTTAACCATTCTTTGCTTATTCGCATGAATAATTTCCACAACTGTTAAATATCTTTTTAAGGTATAATCGGGCAGTACTTTCTGTTGTTGTAGCAAATTCAAAGCTGTCAGTATCTCTGGCTGTATATAAAAAGTGTTCGGTGCTTTAATTTTTTTATTCAACTCGCCTCATAATCTTTTTCTGTCCCTGTAAATGGAAATTTTGCCGGAAAGGTCGGACATTAATTCTTGCAGCATGGATGCAACATATTTTTGTACATAATTGCAGTCAAAATACTACAACCTTCCCACTTCCGCTTTTGTAGTCTGTTGTCATTTACTATTGTGTACGTTTTGACTTTTGCAGTATTGTAGCGGTTGCCGAACTATGGAGAAATATAGCAATAAAATTTAGTTGTTTTTTATTTTTGTAATATTTTAAATATTTGTAACAAAGGATGCATTTTTCGTTTGATTCACTGCATATGAATGGGAGCTCATGCTGTACTGCAACACTAGATTGCCAGGTATTTTTGATAGCAGCTCTTATTTTTACTTTGTGCATGCTTGAGTCATGGAAAAGAACTGTTCTTTTGCTGGCCTGGGGAATTTTGCATGTGAAGAAACCGGGGTATACAGAAAGTTGCACAAATTGGGGAGTGTAATGCAGACATTTGTACTCACCCCAGCAGTTGTCACCTCACGAGGCTTACCATCAACGAGAGTGAACTTATACTTGCCAGAGCAGGACACATTTACCTACCCAGGAACAGCTGACAAACATGACTATCCAGTCTGTTATTAGATCAGTTCATTTTCAATTCGGTCTATCCTGTCAATATGAGATCAGTGGATAGACTTATAACGTTTATTACATCGTTGCTACCCAATTCACAGCTTTGGATAACTCACATGCCTAGCTACTATTATTCTAGTTTAAAGAAGCATAGACTGAGTAGAACAAAAGTAACTAAACATTAAACTTATGTATTATCACTTTATATTTACTGAGATAGAGGGAAACAGTGTGTTTTGTGGACCAGAGCCACTTATAGATAGTATATAAGTGTTAAAGTATGAATAATTCACCGATTATTGGAGTGAACTTAATTTGAAACCAAAACTGGATAAATGGAACGCCGTAAATAAAAAGTTTAAAAAGAAAATGTCGTTCGTTTTCCATCAATCCATTGTTTCCGCCCAGGATCGAACTGGGGACTCGCGCGTGTGAAGCGCACGTGATGACCACTACACTACAGAAACTTGGCTGGTGAAGAACGAGTTCAGTGCGTTGCTGAATTTTGCTCTTTTCATTTTATGGACATAAAAACCAAATGCATGCTTCTGCCCAGGATCGAACTGGGGACCTTGCGCGCGCAAAGCGCATGTGATGACCGCTACAATACGGAAACAAGCGCATGTTCGGAACCCTATGCAAACTTTCTCAGTTTCAAACGTTCAAAATTGACTGAAAATTCGTTCATTTGATCCTGGCACAGCAGCCAATTTTGATTTTTCCGTTGAAGCAATAGAAGGATCACTGACGTGCGATGAGAGAAACGATGTTCAGTTAGCTGCAGTCGGATATATTTTCTGGTTTAATAAATGAAACATTTTTTCACCATTATATAAGAAAGTAAAATGACCTAATGTACAGTAGGCACAAGGGTTGTCAGCTGTCAGAATGGACGAGCGGTCTAAGACGCCAGACTCAAGTTTCAAAACTTGCTCCGCTAATGTGCAGAAAAAGGGCGTTCTGGTCCACTAATGTTGGAGTGGGTTCGAATCCCACTCCTGACAGAGAATTTTAAAATTATTTCGTGAGGCCGTTGAATATATTGGTGCAATTCTTAATCCCGAGGATGACTACAAACCAGTCTAAACGTTGATTTAAAAACAACATGTTGTTCGTTTTCCATCAAACCATTGTATTGGCCCAGGATCGAACTGGGGACCTTGCGCGTGTGAAGCGCACGTGATGACCAATACACTACAGAAATTTGCCTGGTGAAGCACGACTTCATTGCGTTGCTAAATTTTCCTCTTCTCATTTTATGGAAATAAAAACCAAATGCATGCTTCTGCTCAGGATCGAACTGGGGACCTTGCGCGCGTAAAGCGCATGTAATGACCGCTACAATACGGAAACAAGCGCATGTTCGGAACCCTATGGAAACTTCATCAGTTTCAAACGTTCAAAATTGACTGAAAATTCGTTCATTTGATCCTCCACCAGCAGCCAATTTGGATTCTTCTGTTGAAGCAATAGAAGGAGCACTGACGTGCGATGAGAGAAACGATGTTCAGTTAATTGCAGTCGGATATATTTTCTGGTTTAAATGAAACATTTTTTCTCCATTATATAGGAAAGTAAAATCACGTAAAGTACAGTAGGCACAAGGGTTGTCAGCTGTCACGATGGCCGAGCGGTCTAAGGCGCCAGACTCAAGTTTCAAAACTTGCTCCGCTCACGCGCAGCCAAAGGGCGTTCTGGTCCACTAATGTGGGCGTGCGTTCGAATCCCACTCCAAACAGAGAATTTTAAAATTATTTCGTGCGGCCGTTGAATATATTGGTGCAATTCTTAATCCCGAGGATGACTACAAACCAGTCGAAACGTTGATTTAAAAACAAAATGTTGTTCGTTTTCATTCAAACCATTGTTTCTGCCAAGGATCGATCTGGGGACCTTGCGCGCGTAATACGCATGTGATGACCGCTACACTACAGAAACAACGCATGTTCGGAACTCTTTGCAAACTTCCCCAGTTTCAGACGTTCGAAATTGACTGAAAATTGCTTCATTTGATCCTCCCGCAGCAGCCAATTTTGATTTTTCCGTTGAAGCAATAGAACGACCGCTGACGTGCGATGAGAGAAACAATATTCAGTTAGTTGCAGTCGGATATATTTTCTGGTTTAAATGAAACATTTTTTCTCCATTATATAAGAAAGTAAAATGACCTAATGTACAGTAAACACAAGGGTTGTCAGCTGTCAGGATGGCCGAGCGATCTAAGGCGCCAGACTCAAGTTTCAAAACTTGCTCGGCTAATGCGCAGCCAAAGGGCGTTCTGGTCCACTAATGTGGGCGTGGGTTCGAATCCCACTCCTGACAGAGAATTTTAAAATTATTTCATGAGGCCGTTGAATATATTGGTGCAATTGTAAATCCCGAGGATGACCACAAACCAGTCTAAACGTTGATTTAAAAACAAAATGTTGTTCGTTTTCCATCAAACTATTGTTCCCGCCCAGGATCGAACAGGGGACCTTGCGCGTGTTAGGCGCACGTGATGAGCGCTACACTACAGAAACCTGCATGCCGATAAGTGTTCGCCAATCGCCAATTCATTACCAGATGAGAAAATTTTACCTAGGAGAAAACTTCTCAATGTATCATGAAAAATCGCTGTGTCGATCTAGTTAATTTTTAAATAATTAAATGCTAATCAGCTAAAAAATTTCTTCATGGTGTCAGTTTGAAGCAGCACATTGAAAGTGAATCTCGACTTTTCCCCTTCACTCAATCTTGAGATCAATTGCGGGAAACATCTGTCATATTTATTGCTTCGTTAAATATTGGGCGGGAGGGCAGATCTCGACTGCCCTTCAATGCATTAATCAGTGTTTAGCTTGAAACAGTTTTTAGCGAAGATTACGCTAGAACAGGTAATAAATAACGCGCAAGGTGTTCTCTCTTCGTTGGCTAAAACGGTGGAAATGGAAGGAATAGAAGGAAAAGTTGATTCTGCAACCCGTATCGCGCGTTACAAATTAACTGTCTTTAAAAGTTGGTTTACCTTTTCCAATCGGTCATGTACGCAAGTTAAAATTTGATAATAAACAGCCTGACTTCGGAACACATTTACTATACTTCCGCCCAGCATCGAACTGGGGTCCTTGCGCGTGTGAAGCGCACGTGATGACCACTATTCTTCAGAAATTGGCAGGCGAAGCACGAGTTCAGTGCGTTGCTGAATTTCGCTCTTTTCATTTTCTGTAAATAAAACACCAAACGCATGCTTCCGCCCAGGATCGAACTGGGGACCTTGCGCGGGTAAAGCGCATGTGATGACCGCTAAACTACAGAAACAAGCGCATGTTCGGAACTCTTTGCAAACTTCCTCACTTTCAAAGGTTCGAAGTTGTCTGAAAATTCGTTCATTTGTTCCTCCCGCAGCAGCCAATTTTGATTCTTCTGTTGAAGCAATAGAAGGAGCACTGACGTGCGATGAGAGAAACGATGTTCAGTTAGTTGCAGTCGGATATATTTTCTGGTTTAAATGAAACATTTTTTCTCCATTATATACGACATCCTTTTTGTCCACTAATGTGGGCGTGTGTTCGAATCCCACTCCTGACAGAGAATTTTAAAATTATTTCGTGAGGCCGTTGAATATATTGGTGCAATTCTTAATCCCAAGGATGACTACAAACCAGTCGAAACGTTGATTTAAAAACAAAATGTTGTTCCCGCCGAGGATCGAACTGGAGACTTTGCGCGTGTTAGGCGCACGTGATGAGCGCTACACTACGGAAACGTGCATGCCGATACATGTTCGCCAATGGCTAATTCATTGGAAGATGAGAAAGTTTTACCTAGGAGAAAACTTCTCGATGTGTCATGGAAAATCGCTGTGCCGATCTAAATAATTTTTAAATAATTATATGCTGATCAGCTAAAAAATTTCTTCGTGGTGTCAGTTTGAAGCACCACATTGACATTGAATCTTGCGTTCTGCAATCGCGGGTAACAGGTGTCATATTTATTGCTTCGTTAAATATTGGTAGGCAGATCTCGACTGCCCTTCAATGAATTAATCTGTATTTAGCTTGAAACAGTTTTTAGCGAGATTACGCTAGAACAGGTAATAAATAATGCCCAAGGTGTTCTCTCTTCGTGAGTATGGTGCAATACCACGATACGACACGGATCGTGGATTTGGTAACTACATTGTGCAGATGGTGAATTGGTTCACTGATGGTGAATTTGTTTCACGATCCGTAAACCATATGGACGATCTGTGCAGATGGTGAATTGGTTGACGGATGGTGGAAGTGGTTTCACGATCCGTGAATGGTGCACATGGTGCCAGAGGGTAGACCCCAAAACATTGACGATCCGTGCGGATGGTGCGCATGGTGAATTGGTTGACGGATGGTGAAAGTGGTTTCACGATCCGTGAATGGTGCACATGGTGCCAGAGGGTAGACTCCAAAACACTGACGATCCGTGGGGATGGTGCGCATGGTGAATTGGTTGACAGATGGTGAAAGTTGTTTCACCATCTGTGAATCACACACATGGTGCCACAGGGTGAAATATGGGTAAATGGTAGTACTTTTTGTTGAAAATGAGTGGAGAAAAAAATATTTACATACACATGTGTTTTGTTATCTGCGTTTTTATGGTGACATTAACTTTCGCGTATAATTTGTACAGAGTATTTGTTGACCTAGTAGACACTTAACTGCGACGATGGTAATTACGATAACTACTATTGTTGTTTGTTGGCAGAGAATACAAATTTAAAATACATAATTTTAATTTGATCGTACCTGCTCTGGTAAACTTTTATATAAAATATTGAGAGCATTCAGCGAATTATCCAATTTGCACGTTGAGAATAAATATTTGTTTGTATTTGTGTATTCTTAAATGATGAATGTCCATTGCACTGCACCGAGTGTTATCGATATATACAACTTTCGTTCTCACAAAGACACATTACCGGTAGAAGTATTTTTTCCTTGGTTTGTGGAGAATGGATATCAAACTGACAAATCAAACTCGGATCAAAATTTGGCGATCGTGCGATTAAAACATTTGAAATATGGATATCCTAAGAGCTCCGTCACACGTGTAGGTTGACATTAGCAGCCCTTCTGAAACACTTTAATGAAAGTATAGTTCACAAAATTCATATTTTCACTAACATCTTAACATCTGTTTTAATCCAACTAGCTCTGTAGGCACGAGCAAAATCTAGTGTTGATGTAAATATCCATTTAGTTCATGTTTCCCCGGTGAAAATATAGTCTATTCCAAAGCTGATTTCGACGTACTTTAGCTTTTCAGAAACCGCTGGCCTTCTTCAGTGAGATTATCAACTGTTTCAGAAACATATTTGATCGTAAACAGCTAAAATATTCTCCGAAAGTCTATATTTTTGTTCTTCGACGCGAAAATGGCAACTCAAGAAGAAATGAGCCGCTATTTTTGGTCAGCGTCGACAGATTGCTTCAGATCATGAGAATCCGCACGATGTGTGAAAGGATTAATTGGTAACCATAGTTTTGTGTCAAAGTTGGTGAACTGATGACATCTATTAATTATCGAACCTTGCTACTTATTTGTAATAGTATCTTTGAAACAAAACTCTTTTAATATTAACTGCTGAATTAGTTTCTTTAATATCTCGACTTCATATTACACAGTGCAAATTGTGGTCGTCATATACAAACAAAAATCGCGCGCCAAATTCGAATATTGCACGCCAACACAGCATTCGAGGCGCATCAATGGACGATGTTCAAGCGAAAGTTTGCGCACAACGTAGATGATAAGAAAAATTGGTATGCATACAAATTGATACAATAAGTCGCTTCTTAGTAAAACATTCAAGTGTTTTCCATCAGAGATTAAACGGGTCAAACTTGAAGACTTGCGAGACGACGAAGGTCGCCAAGTATCGCATCGCCGTTTCTTTGCCGGGGTGACTGAATACGTTATAACTGGCACAACAGATGTTATGTTCTCGACGCTTGGGGCAAGTAAGGCATTCGAATTAGTGCTATCAGAGCAAAGTCGGCTGCTGCTATTATCATGGTTATAATTCAACAAACCTTATTTCTGCGCGAATTGTACTGATTATATATATATATCAATAGACCGCAAACGGCAAACAGTGCACGAAATCTTTTTGTTTTAAAATCGGTAGGCAAACGCCAAAGCTAGCGCAAATTTGTGTTTATATTATAAAGACTAATTTAGTGGAGACTCTTGTGTTCAGAAAGATGCAGTATCTTTTGCTGACAGGTTAAGAAGATGTAGTCATCTTTGCTATAATCAGTTGAACCTAAATTTTTATAATATAGTAACACATCTAATTATGCATGAATCATTTTATATGATATTGCGGTTGCAGCTGATACGGTAGCTATATAGGTCTGTCATAGTTATAATTCAACAAGCCGTATATATTTCTGCGCGAATTGTACTGACTAGAACTGGCCAGCCAAATAGAATGGCTATATGTATTATCAAGACTAGAGACCGCAAACAGTACACGAAATCTTTTTGTTTTAAAATCAGTGTGCAAACGCCTAAGCTAGCGCAAATTTGTGTTTATATTATCCAGAATAATTTAATGGAGACTCTTGTGTTCAGAAAGATGCAGTCATCTTTTGCTGCCAGGTTAAGAAGATATGCAGTCATCTTTCCTTAATCAGTTGAACCTAAATTTTTATAATATAATAACCCATGCATCCTATTATGCATGAATCATTTTATATGATATTGTGGTTGCAGCCGATACGGTAGCTATTATAGGCATGTATTATCATAGTTATAATTCAACAAGCCTTATTTATAGTTATAATTCAACAAGCGCGAACTGTACTGACTAGAACTGGCCAGCCAAATATAGAATATATATAGCTATATGAAGAGACCGCAAACAGTACACGAAATCTTTTTGCTTTAAAATCAGTGTGCAAACGCCAAAGCTAGCGCAAATTTGTGTTTATATTATAAAGACCAATTTAGCGAAGACTCTTGTGTTCAGAAAGATGCAGTCATCTTTTGCTGACAGGTTAAGAAGATGTAGTCATCTTTGCTTAATGAGTTGAACCTAAATTTTTATAATGAAAACACATCCTATTATGCATGAATCATTGTGTATGATATTGCGGCTGCAGCTACTGTACAATAGGCTATATACAATAGGTCCGTATTATCATGGTTATAATTTAACAAACCTTATTTCTGCGCGAACTGTACTGATTAGAATCGACCAGCCAAATAGTGAAATATAATGTATATATCAAGACTAAGAGACCGCAAATAATACACGAAATATTTTTGTTTTTAAATCAATGTGTATGCAAACGCCAAAGCTATAGCGCAAATTTGTGTTTATATTATAAAGACTAATTTAGTGGAGACTCTTGTGTTCAGAAAGGTGCAGTCATCTTTTGCTGACAGGTTAAGAAGATGTAGTCATCTTTGCTTAATCAGTTGAACCTAAATTTTTATAATGAAAACACATTCTGTATGTCATGTGTTCTATGGAATTGGTATATATGCAAATATTCATAACTCAATAAGCCTTTCCGCGCGAGTTGCAACTACATGTCAAGGCTATTCTCATTTAGAATCTAACCAAATAAAACCTATATAGGATATAATTGAATACCCTCACGAGAATATTTTTGTTTTTAAATCACTGTGTATGCAAACGCCAAAGGTAGCGCAAAATTGTGTTTATATTATAAAGACTAATTTAGTGGAGAATCTTGTGTTCAGAAAGATGCAGTCATCTTTTGCTGACAGGTTAAGAAGATGTAGTCATCTTTGCTTAATCAGTTGAACCTAAACTTTTATAATATAGTAAAACACATCTTATATGCATGAATCGTTGTATATGATATTGCGGTTGCAGCTGATACGGTAACTATATAGGTCTGTATTATCATAGTTATAATTCAACAAGCCTTATTTCTGCGCGAATTGTACTGACTAGAACTGGCCAGCTAAATATAGAATGGCTATATCAAGACTAGAGACCGCAAACAGTACGCGAAATCTTTTTGTTTTAAAATCAGTTTGCAAACGCCAAAGCTATCGCAAATTTGTGTTTATATTATAAAGACCAATTTAGAGGAGACTCTTGTGTTCAGAAAGATGCAGTCATCTTTTGCTGACAGGTTAAGAAGATGCATCTTTGCTAATGAAAACACATTCTGTATGTCATGTGTTCTATGGAATTGGTATATATGCAAATATTCAAAACTCACTAATAAGCCTTTCTGCGCGAGTTGCAACTACATGTCAAGGCTCTTCTCATTTAGAATCTAACCAAATAAAACCTATATAGGATATAATTGAATACCCTCACGAGTACAGGCTTCTGTAAGCAAGTTCCAACCGTCAATATCGCATGTTCACCTGCTCTATATCATAATAAAATGTTTGTAGCCTATTGCATTTCACGGGATTTCACAAGACTAGTAACTTATTTCTAAATATTGAACTAAACGGCACATGCTAATTTTCATATACCCACTGTGAACAGAACCAGATTGATGACTGTTTTGCCTATTAATTTTATTGGGATTAGGCATAATTGCATCCGGCGAAGTGCACAAATTTTGTGCAGCAGTTGACAAATTTGTAAATTGACACCTTTTTTCGGCCGGGTAAAGGGCAATAAATTTGTGGGAAAAAATTCTGAACCCGGTTGACATTGTGAATAGCACTTCATTTTATTTGTTTATTTATGAACTACATGTTTGTAAATAAAATACATTATTTTGAGTTTGGGAAAATTACCACAGATTTTTATCATTTTTATCACATATACTTTTACCGTTTTGCGCCTTATGAAAGTTAGCCTGCGGTGCAGACGCTTCGTATTTCATGATGATCATGATTTCAACCGTTTTATCATGAAATATGAAGCGTCTGCACCGCAGGCTATGTGGAAGTAAGCTAAGAATTAAAATGCCACCTCGCCTTGGGGAAGAGCGGCGTTTTAAAAAAACACTGACAATCGCTTTTCACACTTTTCAAAGGCGCTGTGCAGTGGGTTAAATAAGACGTTGGGTGGCTTGAAGATTTGCCGTGAAAAGGTTGTTCGCAATATTAACTGCCACTGGTGCATATAAATTTCAAAATAATGTCGGTTGGTCATTCGCTAGATAGCAGAATGATAATGGGAATGAATATAGACTCACGGGATGAGAGTAACATTAACAACTTTGTGGCCTTCGTTCTCAACTGCTCTAAAGAAAAGATTAGAGAGAAACGACTGAAAATAGTCTCTCTTATAACTAGAAAATACATGCATGCAGAAACCCTGGCCTTGCTGACAAAACCGTTGTATTTTCCGAACATGAAGTATCTAAAGTAGTTGTCATGGTAACACGATAATTTTTTAAGAATATTCTTACAAATGAAAATCGCCTAAAAATATCACTTTTAATTACAAAATTATCAATTTCCCAACATATATATGTTAGGTATGTAATTATACGTAATACAAGCTTCAATTTAAGGTAAAATTCAACCACAAACAATTCACAAAACGTTTTAAAGTGTTCTTTAATATAAAACTAAACTGCCTTTAACTATTAAATGGCTTTATCGATAAACTTTGAGTTTGCAATAAAATGATTTCAAATTCTCGTTTGCAAATAACTTTGCTTTATTTTTATTTAAAAAGTTCAATATAATAAAAAAGGGAATCAATATTAAAGATACACTGAAATTATATGCTGTCTTGTTTAGTTGTTTCATATCAATATACGCAAAGGCCGTCGGGTTTTAAAGCCATTATAAAATCAATATTTAAAACAAACTTACCTTCGTTAACGTCGGCTCCCTTCTTTTAGCCGATTCTTTCGCCCTTTCTTTATGAGAAAACTCTTGAAATTTGCAAAATCTTGCAAAAATGCGAGTAAAAAATTCATCAATCATCAAATCAAGAAATGTTTGCTATTTCGCTGTCGTCATGCAGTCGTTATAATGCAAACTTTAAATTGGACCAATCAGTGTCCGCCATTCATGACAGTCCGCCATATTTTTTAGATCATTGATGATGACCACCCATCGTTGATGACCGACGCCCGCGCTCATTGATGAACCGCTTTAGACTTCCCTAATGCTTTCGTTTCCCCGGGTGTAAATAACCGGGGGGAATTAGTACCCTCGCACGGCGCTTTGCGCCGCCGGCTCGGGGACAATGAGAATATGTGTTTATTCGTGGTTTTTTGGAGAACGAGGCATACACATGCATTGATATATTAAGTATTTAGAATGTATAATATACATGAGGTAATAACAATGAAAATATATGTTCATTCCTTTTTCGCCCTGGAGAACGAAGCATACACATTCATAAATGAAGATGTCAGTAAGCATATATGAGCTATTGTAATAACAAAACACTATGATAAAAGAAAATGTAAACGCGTATGTGCAGTAATAAGAATGAAAATAACTGTTTATTATATTAATAAATGCTTGCCGAAGTTCATATAGAGACGCATAATGCGTCTCTAGTATGAAAAGGAGCAATGGAACTGTCGCCTTTAAATGACAGATACTGCGTTGTAACTTAAAATCCCGCTTTAGTGAACTTTAATATTTAAATGAAAAGGGGCAATGGAACTGTCGCCTTTATTAAGATGACAGATACTCGGCGTCGTAACTTAAAATCCCGCTTGAGTGAACTTTAATATTTAAATGTATAATGCATGCGGCGAGGCAAACCGCACTAGACATAAACAAATCAGAACTATATAGCAATGAAAATTTGTGGTTTTTGGAGAACGAGGGATACACATGCATTCATATATTAAGAATTTATGTCACGCCTTCCTTCAGTTAATAGACTACGGATATCCAATTAGCGTTGCATTAACCAAGCTATGTTTACTGGCAAGCAATAAATGGACAATGTCTTTATGGGTAAATTTTGGCTATGAACAATTCATAGCCGCTTTATTGAAAATGATTATATAAAAATCAATAATAACATATTTTAATTATCAGAATAATACTAGAGTTCATTTTGATTTATATATTGATGTTCAATTGCCAGTAAAGGTGGCAGGACTACACGCCAAAGACTTTGCAATTCATTTCCCAGTACGCAAAAGGAGGAAATGAATATAAAAGTCTCCCCACCCGAGGGAAATGCAACGCCAAGGACTATAATAATGCATCCCACTGGAAAGTCAGTGTATCATATACAAATAATATTGGATACACAATAACATTTGATTTAGAAAAGACAGACGCCCCTGCGCACCGTCGAAATTGAAAACATCGTTCAGGATGACTGTTCCATAAATGTTGAAACGATCGCCCTTGCTAGCGCTGCTTAGGTATAAAGTGTTTGTTGGTGACACATTCAATTGTTTGAAGACAGTGGCCCCTGCTCACCGTGCAATATCATTTACAATTGGATAGCATAGTAACAGTTGCCTCTGCTAACTGCCAAGTTAAATATATATGTAAGTTATAATGTGTATTTTGGCAGAAATGGTGTTATCCGCCCCTGCTGAATAACACCATAAGCCATAATTGTAACCCTCCTCTAGACATCACCCCGCAATGCTGTTTAAAAGAGGGTGTTAAAATAATACAGGTTATGTTGTAGTAAGCGTTTGAACGCGGATGAAATGCATTCGATTTCCAACGACCCAGAATGCGTATCTGCGCATCAGACACCCCATGTTCTGCCGCAAATGATGCTGCACCAATTCTGAAACTATGAGACTTGTAAACGGAAGGATTGAGATTGCAAAATTTTAGACAGTCATTCAGCTGTTTAGCAAACATGTTTCTCGACACTGCCGCCCCCGCATGAGTAATGAAAATAGGTCCAGAGGAATTGCCACGACAGGCTAAATAGCGACATAACAGTTTTACTGGGCAGGGGCTATGACTTGGTTGACGATAAATGACCATGGAAAACGGTCGCTGATTGTAATTGTGTTTATAGTCGGTAAAGGTTAATTTAAAACCAATTACTTCACCGTCTCTTAAGAGTTTGGTGAGCTGGTTCAAACAAAGAGGAATAGGAGACTGCTTTGATGTCGATGTTATCTCGCCAATACGTAGAAAGGCAAAAAATGCAAGACCACACATCGCCTGAAAGCGGCATTGGTCGTATGAAGTGCCAATACAGTGTGGAGCAGCCATTAGTAATCGGGTTAAAATTGGGAGAGTGATAGGTAACCGACTATCTAAGCGAAAGCCAAGTTTTCCATAGCCTTTTAACATTTGTATAATATAAAATACCTTAGTAGGGTCAACCAAGTGCAATAGTTTGTGTGAATAACCAATCGCTGAAACATAGGTGTTGACAGTTGCGGGGGCGTAATCCCGATCAAACATGTAAGCTATGAAAAACGCTAAAATGTGAGGTGATATAGGCAATATGTAGGAAGATGTACCAAAAACATGAATATGGAATTGGTCGAAAACTCTCCACGCTTGCCTATATGTAGCGATAGAGGATTGCCGCAGGCTTGACTGGGTTAGGAGGGAAATAATATCCCCCAATTTTGTGGCAGCAGAACTGTAGGGATGCCCGTTGCGCAGACATTCATCGAGGCTGGTGCCTCGCGCTTGAAGGTTTGAACCTGTAATGGCTGAATGGGCAGAATGTAACGCTTGCTCGACGACAGCAGAACCAGACAGTCGTGGAACCGTTGAAGTTGAGGTAGTAGTGACCACTGGAGCTTCAATAACCTCACCGGGTAGCTCTGGTTGCGAGAGTGGTGTTAGGCGTCGAGTTACTTCAGCTGTTACGGTTGACACTATTTGCTCAAGTAGCGCAAGCGAAATGGCTGAACTTGGTCCCGTTGATGTTGTGGCAAAATTGACTGGAGCCACTGCGGGAAGTGTGGATGTCGAGGCAGCACTACTGGGGCTGTTGGTGGCGAGCGCTGTAGCTGACACTGACGAACGACTCCTACGAGGGCGGCGAGAAGGCGGTTGATTAGGCACAGAAGTTGTGGCTATGCGTTTCGAACGTGTGTTGTGGTTGGACGGCATGATGAGCTGAAAGAAATGACTTTTAAAACTATTAGAACACAGCCATGCTGAAGATTTAGTCGCATACGTATGCGCATTAGAATCAATAAATCGTAAAAATTCAATTGGTTGGGTCAAGCCTGGCCACACGAAGGTGACCGCACCACTGAGCCCGAAATTTGTACTTAAAACAAAAGACATATGACAAATTGGTCATAAATAATAACACATATAGATACAGTGAGGGCGAAGCCTCAACAAAATCGCAGCGAAGTGCGATTGGTGACATTTAACATAGACTGAGAGCGAAGCCTCAGATAAAATCACAGCGAAGTGTGATTGATAATAACATAATGACATGAAGGGCGAAGCCTCCAATCTTTATAAATGTAAAAGATTAAATTAGAGGGCGAAGCCTCCAAATATTTAACATATAGAGGAGATAAACCCCTCTAGTTTAAAGTAACTGTATGGCTTTGAGTATTGCACCCCGGTAGCTACGGTACAAACGATATTGAGCTCTGCGCGTAAAATGTACGCCATCGGGTAAAAACGGTGAGATAGATGAGCGAGTGAAGCCCTTATGGCTGCAACAAAAAACATTATGTATGCCATAAAACATTACTGTTAGGTATTGATTTAGAATCCTAACTTTTGCGTTAAGCTCAGGGGAGGAGACTCGATCAGATACCAAGCAAACCCCTATAACTCGGATAGAAGTTACCCCAAGTAATAAATGAGCCAAGTCGTCTATTTTGGAACCCACAGTTTCGGGTTTCATTAAAGGCTCTGATACAAGTCGTGTGGACTTATAAAATTACTTGTGCTATATCTTCGTTATATGCCAAGAATCCGATCTTGATCTTGGCACTGTTACGTAGTTTTAGGCACTGAAATTTCCTGCCTCTTCAACCGGCGCGCCATAGATTAAGATAAAGTTATTATGTCATCTAATCGTGTTAATCCAGGCGTGACATAAAAATCCATATTTCCTGGGAAATATTTTTATTTAAAATGTCTAATATACATGACTCATGAGATAATAAGTAATATTATACCTCAAATTTAAATTGTCCAATCAGGAAGCTAGATTTGTACCACGTGAGCATGAAATTTATCATCGTATCGCGCTTACGTCATTCGTATTTGGTGCAGCAGGAAATTTCAGTCATATTCACCGGTGAATATGAGTCAAATTCACCGGTGAATATGATTCGCGTAGACCACGCGAGACAACACGCATGACAACAACATGGCCGACAAAGTATAAATAGTATTGATGAGTGATGAATAATCTGGGTAAATGACTGTAAAACCTGGGGCTTTTTCAAACAAATGTTGTCATTAATATTCCAAACGATATGTGATTCGAAAGAAAAGCGACGATACTTGCGTTAATCCGAAACTAAAACATCGTATTCACGAAGGTATGTGTCAAGTTTTTATTTCTCAACTTGGAGGCTTTTAATTTTCGGTATAATATATCATTTATAGACCCTCCGCTCGGGGGATTCGGCGAAATATTTCCCTCAGTGATGATATTTCCCTCGGGCTTCGCCCTCGGAAATATCATCACTTCGGGAAATATTTCGCCAAATCCCCCTCGCTCCGGGTCTATAAATGATAAATAACAGTCAATGAAGATATATGTTCATTTCTTTTTCGCCTTTTGGAGAACGAAGCATACACACTCATATATGAAGATGTAAACATATAACAAGTTAGTACTGTAGGCTAATAACAAAACACATTAATATATGAAAATGTAAACGTATGTGAGGTAATAAGATTGAAAATATCTGTTTATTTTCACCATACGCACGATGTGCACGGATCGTACGGATTTAGTGGCCAGGGCATCAATTGCATGATTAGCGTTTGTTGCACTGTTGGAGGTAAACATACACAGCTTGAGGTTTTTTACCATGTGTTACGGATCGTGAGGTACGTTTACAATCTGTGTCATATAGTGATTGTTTGACCATGTGTTACGGATCGTGAAGTATATTCACGATCTGTGTTGCATCGTGATTGTTTCACACTTTCACCATGTGTTACAGATCGTGAACTATATTCACGATCCGTGACCCATCGTGATATTGGACATGTATGCTCTTCGTTGGCGAAAACGGTGGAAATGGAAGCAATAGAAGGAAAAGTTGATTCTGCAAACCGTATCGCGCGTCGCAAATTAACGGTGTTTAAAAATTGGTTTAGCTTTTCACAATCGATCATGTACGCAAGTTAAAATTTGATAATAAACAGCCTGAATTCGCAACACATTTACTGTGTTTCCGTCCAGGCTCGAACTGGGGAACTTGCGCGTGTGAAGCGCACGTGATGACCACTGGTGAAGCCCCAGTTCAGTGCGTTGCTGAATTTTGCTCTTTTCATTTTCGGTAAATGAAACACCAAATGCATTCTTCTGCCCAGGCTCGGACTGGGGACCTTGTGCGTGTGAAGCGCTCGTGATGACCACTATTCTACAGAAATTGGCTGGCGAAGCACGAGTTCAGCGCGTTGCTGAATTTTGCTCTTTTTATTTTCTATAAATAAAACACCAAATGCATGCTTCTTATTTTATTATTATTATTAAAAACATCTTTAAACACGGTGACTAATCAACCAGTATTAAAATATTTACATTCGAAAGGTTGCTTTTCATTAGGCCGTGATGAAAACGAACTACAACGCCCCCTCCTTCCCCCAGTGAACCCCTCCCGAAAAGTGTAAAAGATACAGTTACTATTTATTTAACTGACAACCCCTCCTCCCCCAAGTGAAGCCCTCCCAAAAAGTGTAAAAAATACAGTTACCACTAAGTTAACTGACAGTTTGGTTCCAGACTTTAGCAGCAGCATATCTGAATGTTCTTTTCGAAGAATTAGTTTTTGGTTTCGCTAGTACAAGCTTGCTATTGTTGCTTTTTAAGACGTATCGTTCAGAATTGGACATTATAAACATGTTCGAAATGTTTTCAGGGCTTTGGCTTGCAAGAGCCTTAGATACACATTTTAATTGCTGCTCATTTCGCCTTTCTTCTAACGTTTTCCAGTTCAGTTTACTCAAAATGACAAGGGAGCGTACTTCATATGAATCGCCTGAAATAACCCTTGCCGCTCGGTTTTGGAGTGTCTGTAACATCTCTTTAAGGTTTTGCCACAGTTACCCCAAACCATTGAACAGTAATCAAAATGTGGTTGAACCAAAGGTTGATAGAGATAGGTAAGAGTTCCAGTTGAAACAAATGGTTTAATTCGGCGTAACATGCCTATGGCTTTTGAAACTTTTTTACTGATGTTCTCAATTTGCTTGTCCCAGCATAAATTTTCATCAATTATAACGCCCAAAGTTTTCTTTGAGTTTACTTGTTTAATTAGTTTGCCATCAATGGACACTGTGATATCTTGCGAAAATCTACTCAATCTTTTGTGAGTTCCAATGACCATATACTCTGTTTATTCTACATTTAATGTTAATTTGTTTGAGACGGCCGTTGATGAATATTGCTCATTTCATGATTGAGGGTTTTTTCCAAATTATTAAGACCATCTGAACCAACAGTTATATTTGAGTCATCAGCATACATTGCGGCATGTGAATTTTCCAACAGTTTGGAAGATCATTGACATATATCAAAAATAAAAGAGGGCCAAGGTTTGACCCCTGTGGAACCCCGCAATTTAACTTCCGAGGGGACGATATTGCTGTATTTACCTTACAGTATTGTTCCCTGTTAAACAAATATGATTTAAACCATTCTAGTGCCTTGTCTTGTATCCCGTAATTAGATAACTTTTTTATGAGGATGGCATGATCGACTGTGTCGAATGCTTTGCATAAATCAAGAAAAAGCACCCCGTTTATCCTACCAGCATCCATATTCAGTAGCCACGAATCAGTATTTTCTAAAAGAGCAGATGTGGTGGAATGACCTTTGCGAAAACCAGACTGACATGAACTTAAAATCTTATTTTCTTCCAGAAATAGATTGAGTTGCTGGCAGATAAGTTTCTCAAATAATTTTGCAAATAACTGAAAGTACAGAAATAGGCCGGTAGTTACCCCGCACTTTCTTATTTCCAGACTTATATATTGGAGAAATCTTTGTCGTTTTAAGATCGACTGGGAAAATGCAATTATTTAAAGAAGTATTGAAAATTAGTGCCAAAAAGGGGGCCACTACGTCTTTTGAGTCTCTTAAGAGCGTGTGTCTCTAAAAACCGCCCACTGACTTGGGGCTCGAAAAATAAATTTCTTCGAAACTTTTACCGTTAACTACATTTACTTTAACAACAAACAAATGCTGTTTGGAATTTTGAAAATATATTTAGTTTCAAAGTTTTAGCGATTTTTTGGTCTCGCACAGTCGCGGGAGAAATTCGCTGTCTAATTAAACGAAAAAATGGGCTGAATTTAAATAAACATAATTTCAAAAATTTTTGTTCAAATTTCTGATATTCACACCCAGCACCAGAAAACTATCGTAATTTCATCTAAACTAACTTAGGTTTGCAATTACAGGGCATTTGTGACAATATTTAGCGACAAAGAGGGCAATGTCAAAATACGGTTTTCAAATTCTACTATTTTCTACGCTGAATTTCTTAAAAGTGGCACCTAATTACATACAGTGACTAGTATAGTTGGAAAAAGGACACTTTGAAGTATTAAAAACCGTAATAAAACTCGTCTGCAAACGCTTTTTGAACAATTGAGAGCGTTTGAAATTTGATACTATTTATGGCCTTTTGTTTACATATTTGAATGTTGCTGAGGTCAGACTTCTGAGTTCATGTCACTGCTAAAAATGCGCTGTAGTTCTGCCAAATAACATTTTCTCATTGCCCTTCTCTCAAAACAAATCGAAAAATGTCATAGTACTAAACTGGATTTCGTTGTTTATCTTACAAGATATTTAAATAGATGATATTAAACATATAAAATTGAATCACGGTAAACACT